GGCTGTAATAGCTTTCTTTATCCCAATTCTTTTAGCTTCTTCCAAGTTTTTGTTGTACCTGGGAGAAAGAACAAATATGATCACCATATACTCAGAAATCTGAAAATGTGTCAATGTAGGATGAAGATTATTGAGGAATCAGGATGTACCCATGTATTTTCTCCTTTTGCCCACACATCAACCTCGTGAAGTCAATACATGCACTGAGCCCTTTTTGCAGAAGAGGAAACTGAGGCTTATGGAGATTAAGATTTTGCGAGGAGTTGTCTAAACATTCTTTCTCTGGCTTTAGCAGTAGTAAAATAAGTGAAGCAATATTTAGCAAAGGTTTAGAACTTGTATTGTTCATAGACAATACTACCTAGAAGCCATGAAAAAACTTGTGTGTCTTTCCTTTTGTAATATGTACTCCTATTAAATTAATTAATAAAACGGAGAAGTAATGTTGAAAAGTGCTAACATTAATGAATTGAAGTCATTTAAATCTCTGAACATTAAGGAAGCTTTAGAGTTCTACCCCTGTGCTACCTTCTTTCTGGGACCATCGGAAGAACCAATTGAACAGTTTCATGTGTAAGAACATTTTGAGAGCTTAGAATTGCCATGTAACACTTCTTTTGGTTAAATAAGCTGTACAATTTATCTTATTTCCATAGACATTTATTTTAAAAAATCACTGATCTACAAAACATGTTGGGCTAAAATTATATAATTGTCCATCATTATGTATCAGCACCCCCTCCTTTTCCTTTCTATAAGTTGTCTGCGTATTCTTCCCTCTGTTAATGCTCCCCAACATTTGTCATGCCAAGGCTGTCTGCTGCTGGAATAAGAGGCTCTGGCCTGAGGGCTGTGGTCACTCAAAGCCTTCTGGCTGCCTCAGAGCTAAAAAAATCAAACTCTTCACACATTTGTACTTGAAGTCATTCACGGCACAAAACTTGGCTAGCACCCATTAATACTTCTTAGTGCAAATCTAGGCAATTACAAAAAGGGGGTGAAGGCAAGTAAGAACCCCCTCTCCCTGGAACAACATTAGAGTCCACTGACAGGTTTTCTTTCCCACTTCTCATGACTGAAAGCTTACTCCCAAATGATAATTCAGCTGTGCTTTTCAAATCTCCAGAGAGTGGTCGGTTTCAGATGTTAAAGCTAAAGAAGATGGTGCCTGTAACTTTACCTTCATCCCAAAGGATCCCAGGAGATTATTTTGCTTAAGAAGAAAGATGTGGAGGTAAACTAATGAGGCCCAAATTTAAAGAAAAATAAGCAATTTTGCTAACATAGAACCAAGGTAAAACTACTAGAGAAATGGGACAGATTATAATTAAGCTTTAAATCTTCCTATATTTTCTTAACTACAATTCCCTGCAGAACCCAGGGCACTGCCTTGCAGAAAGACAGAATTCATAATGGTTGAAATGGAAGAATTTGCTTCCATGCAGAATTCACGTTTTGAGGTCTTTGATCCATAAAGCTCATGACTATATAACTATTATAGTATTATGCATGTATTACTTATCTTTAGAGGATTCATTCCATTAAGTATGTACATCAGCGTTCAAGCCCTGCCCAGATTTAAGTATGTATCCTTCTTGCTTTCAGGACTAATCTTATTAGTTATGTTACTGGTTAAAAAAGCTCGTCACATGAAATTTACTTGACAGCATGTCCACTAAAGACCAATTTAAGCAGAACTTTATAGTGCCAAAATAGTAACACACTATACTAGAGTTTTTACTCCTCAAAATGTAAATCCCCAACTTGCCAGGTGTAATCTTTGGAAAAAAATTATTTTTGAGAAACATGTTTTATTTTTGATAAATCTCTCTTATATCATTATCAGCCCAGATATTTCATTTATATAGCTATAGCGATACATCTCCCACTTTATGAGTCAATCTGAGGTGAAAGGTACTTCGAGGCATAATTACACTCGATTACATTTAAGGAATTTCAACGCACATGTCTTATACTTTGTTATCTTCTTTATTTCAGTTCTTGCTTACCAAGACTAATGTAGAAACCAATATGATGTTGTCTTACGCAGCCAGAGGAAACACTTGCACAGGAAGAAGCAACAAAAAAGAAGAAAATTATTTAGATACCAGAAAAGATAAATGAAGGAAAGAAAAGGGTAAGGAAGGAGGACATGTAAATAATACTCCTTTTGATTCATTTTTCAATATAAATGTCTCACATACAAGATCAGATATTAAAGTCATTTGTTCATTAACAGTTTTAGTATAGAAATGGCAATTAAAGTATGAGTTGCTAAAATGGACCGGAGTTATATTTTCAAAAATTGGTATTTAGAAAATATTATTGTTAAATATTATGAAAATATTTATCAATGATGTAAGTAGCTACTTACAAGAGCAAGGAAAAGTTTTGGTTAAGCAAATAGAAATCAATACTAATAGATAAATATATTTGCCAGACACACATAAAAGAGAAAAATATTTTTAAAATAAGGAGCACAAAACTATTCCATATTATTGAATTAAATTCATTTTAACTTCCGGTTAAATTTCCATTTCAAGACAGCCAGCTTTCTCCTGTACCTACTACTTCAAAAAGGAAGATCAAGACTTTGATTACTTATTTTTGTAGAAGTAGAGGAAAGGGAAGGAGAAAAACTGTAGAGAAAATTAAAGAATTGTCTTACCAATTCTACTTCCAAATTATATCCTAAATCTAGGTGCTAGTCTCCCCTCCACAGCCTCTGCTCTAGATCAAGCCACTACAAGTCCTCTGACCTGGATGACCTTGTCAGCCTCCTCTTTTAAATGTTCCCAATCCAAAAATATAATGTGGATAGTCATTCCCCTGCTTAATACCCTCAGTCACTTCCCTGTGCCCATGGAATAAAGTCCTAACTCATCACCAGGGCCTAGCATCCCCATATTCTAGCCCCTCCCCACCCTCACTCAACTGAGCTACAGTTACACAAGCATTGTATTTTCTAGAAAATACCAAAGTTTTTCCCACCTCAGAAATTTGGAAGATTTTTCTTCCAACCCATCCTATCCCTATTCCCACCAGAGCATGCTTTTTCTCATCCCTTGGATCTCAGCCTAGATGGAACCTCCCCCAAGAAGGCCTTCCCTGACCACCATATTTAAACTCCTCTACTCATCACCACACTCTGATTTCAGAGCATGTCACTAAATCTATAATTTAATTCATTTCTTTGATAATTCCTTCTGTATCTTCCTTCCTCCTTTCATTCCCTTTTTATCCATTTTACTATTTTGAATGAGGATCCCTAAAGGTTCAATATCCACTATTTCTGATTCATGAATGAAGATCCAGAGCCTAGCAGAGTACCTGCCATGCAGTAGGAGCTGGAGAAGTTTGTTTAATGAGTGAACTTTTAATAAATGGCCATCCTAGGAGTCCATCAGTTTATAGTCTTGTGACCACTCTTGATCCCTAGACAAAACTAATTTCAATTTTCCAGGGGAAAATGTCCTTCAAAGATAATTCAATTAACTCATTATCTTCCAAAGAAATGATTCCACACATTAAATGAGTCTCTGAATATAGCTGCCTAAGTCTATTTTCTTACCATTAAAACTTGATTGCCATCTTCTCTAGGAAAAATCTTTATGTATCTAATTAAAGAGCTCCTTGAAAAATCTAAGTTCCTTTAAACTTTTAAGAAACTAAAATTATCAGACTTACCTCAGTTATGAATATTGGACTTGACTTTCATAATGTCTTTTCCCCCCTTACCCAGGCTACATCACATACATCATTTTGGGTTTTGTTGCTAACAATATTCTTAAAAAATATCGTCATATTCCTCAAATTTCAGATGTCACTAATGATAAGTACTTTTATTATGTTATTTTATGTGCCACTAAAAAGTTTAACAGGACATCCTGTATACAACTAGGACCCACAGGGCTACAGCCTGAGCATAATAACACGTGTGCACATGGAAAGGAACAGCAGAACTTACAGGTCTCAACCTTGGCACCAACTAACAAAGGAATGAAAAGCAACCTCCTCTGAGAATATTAACCCAGGCAGGACTCATATGAGTCTGAAGTGTGAATTTAAACTAATGGCATAGTCCAAAACTCCTAGACACAGAATTTAATGTATGGTGGTGCCAGCTTAGGAGTGTCCTTGGTGAATAGCAAAAGCAAACCTAAATCCCAACTAGAACTGGACTCCAATCCAGACCTACAGCAATTCTACGACAACACTGACTGCTGGATTTTTTTCAATTTCAGAGATGATGAATTGTGAGGGTGAGGTGTACAACTCAGAACAGAGGAAAATACTGTATACAAGGGTGCCCACAAACACCTTATGGACACCCTGTATTTTCTAATTGCTCATTGCTAGTTTACAGGATGCCACTTATTCTGAATAATGATCGGTACCCAGAGATCTTATTGTACTTTGCTAGCTTGTAGAGTCTACTGGAATTTCTATGTAGACAATCACACTATCCATGACTAATGACCATTTTGCTTCTTGTTTTCCAAGCCTTAGAGTTTGTATTTCTTTTTTGTTTTATTTTTGTTTGTTATCCTCATTCCCTTGTTTTCTTGGTCTTACTATCTAGTACTTGCATAATTATAAATAGAATTGATGCTAGTAGACATACGAGTCTCATGAATTTTTTTTTAATTGACAGACAAAATTGTATGTACTTATTCATTATTTTAAGCGTTAAAATTCTTTTAACATTTCACCATTAAATCTATTTATTTCCTTTAGGAAATACATAGTATATTAAGACTTTTTTATTCCTAGTGTTAAGAGTTCTTGTCATGAGTAACACATAATTAATGCTTTTTCCCCCATCTATACAAACAAAATTTCTTTTAATTTGTTAATGTTGCTAATTATATTAATAGATTTCGTATATTAAACCATCTGTGCATTCATGGGATAAAGACAACACATTCAGGATTTTTAAAAATCTGATGATATTTTTCACATAAATTCATTTAACTAGTAATTTATTTGGAATTTCTGCATCTACATTTTTGGTAGAATTGTCTTTTCATTTTCTTTTCTCCTATTACACCTATCTGGTTGTGGTATCAAAGTTACACGCACTAGCCGAATAAAAGAACTCACATTTCTCTTTTTCATCTTTTCCATCACTTTCCTGAAGTGTTGGTAGAACTTTCCTATAAAGTTATCTGTACCTGGTGGATTTGCTGTTTGTGGGTGGGGACAGTGGAAGATGGAGGAGATTTTTAACTTTGAATTCAACTTTTTTTTTTTAGTTTAAATGCATTTTATTTCTAAACAACCTACATGCCATGTTTTTCCTTAAAAACAATGCCTCCACTCCAAATAAATCACGGTCAAAATAAATGAAGAGCTTAAGATGACATCGGTCCTGTTTGTCTTAAGTCCTGGTGTTGTTTGAATGACAAGCAGCAGCCAGTTATGATGACAGGTGATAGATCCAAAGTAATTGCCAAATTTGTTAACATTTTTCCATTTCTAAACATCCTTAAAGAAAATCATACATGGGGTCACACCATCCTCACAGTAGTCCAGGAGAGCAAGCATGCCATCTGGATTCATGTTTTCACCAATAAAGAACTGGTAGTTTTTGAAATGAGCCAGGATGTGCTTGATTTGTTCTGCAGCCCCTGTCATAAAAGGTTTGACTCTTTCTGGTCTCTGTTCTTCAAGTTTGCCTTTGATTGACTTCATGTAATCTTTGATGTACTTCTTGTAGGCTTCTTTTGTGAAAGTGATAGTTCATGACAATATCAACACCAGTGACAACTGTGCTTTCGGTACCTTCGTCCTCAGGTCCTTCAGCAGAAGCATTTCCACCAGTGAGCAAGTCATCAATGTTACCCTCTGTCCTACTGACCATCTTCCCCTCCACCTCCAGGCACAAGCTGTCTGCAATCTCTCAGATCTTGTAAATGTCGGAGAACATCTCATCGTGGCTGATGAGGTCCGGGTAGATAATGGTGATGGCAGCTAAAGAGAGATCGCAGCAGCTCTAGCTTTGCAGGAGCCCTGAGCCGGAGCTGGCCCATAGGAGTGGGGAGCGGGGAGCGGGCAGAAAAGCTGGATTCAACTCTTTTAATGATTATTGGTTTATTCAGGCTTTCTTCTTCTTAAGTGAGGGTTTTAACCTATATTTTCACCATATGGGTTATGAACTATAATTTTAAAAATAGATTTTTTTTATCTCCAGGAAGATTTATTTATTCATTCTTTTTTTGCTCCTGAGTAAATGTACAAAATACTTGGTTATTTATCAGTCTTTTCAGTGAATTAGTTCATGGATTTGTCAATGCTCTGCTTTTTTGCCTTTAATTTTCTATTAAATTAATTTTTGTTCTTACCTTTATTTTTTTCTCATGTTTTGTTATTCTTTTTCTACCTTCTTCATTTGGCCATTTAATTCATTAATTTTCAGGCAATTTTAATTTATTTTACCAGACACGCAGGTATCATTGGACCAGGACTCATTTTTAACATGAAATCTCCAGCTTTGGGAGAGCTTTCTAGTCCACAGACTAGTATAAATTCAGACCACAATCTCACATGGGGGTCAGACCTAACGTTTTGATTTTTATGAGGAGATATTTTCTCCCCAGCTCAGCAACTAGGCAAAAGTAGGTAAGCTCTGCCTCCCTGTGCAGTTGGGTATAGACTTTTTCTGGTCCCCCTGAAAAAGAAAACTGAAAAAGAATCTCAAGTTTAAAATTTCCTGGTCTCAACTCAAATACTAACTTATCACAAAGGATTTTTCTGAATAACTTCTCTAAATATTCCCATTATTTTCTAAGAGGGACTATTTTATTTCCTCAAACAGGACCTGATATGACTCAAGAGTGTTTTATTTTCCCAAATAATATTTATCCCCACCATGTATATTAGGTATTCATGTACTTAGGTTGAGTTGTCTGTACCCTCCCCCTCCCCTGTCCAAATTTAAGCTCCATGAGAACAGGGGCTTTATTTGATTGGATGTTTGCCCAGCCATTAAGCAGGACTTTCTCATTTTATCTGTCAGGTACATTTTAAAGCAAAAGCAACAATCTCAGCAGAAATGGAAACATAGATACTACTTTTCTTTGAACCATGGCACTTAGCCAACACAAATTATTCTCAAAGGATAAGATCTATCATATGAATAAGAGTATTTCAAACACATATGTACAATTGGAAAGATTGGAAAGATAGTTATACAGAGAATAACCACGTGAGTGCAACTGAGGTAAAGAAACAGAGCACTGCCAGAACCACGGACAGGTTCTGGAACCCCACCATGTATTCTGGTCTCATTGCATAGTTTTTCGTCTTCCCCAGAGGTAACTATTACTATGACTTACAAAAATCCTTGTTTGTCTTCATTTCTACCCAATGTATAACTACTGAAATAATATAGTTTATTTTTTCCTATTTTCAAAACATATACATATTCATAACATTAAAATATTGTATGAGAATATTAGAATTTATATTCAACTTTAAAGTCCATTACATTTGAAAATCAATAGATCTGATGAATATTATAAACTTCAAAATATTACCATTTATATACTCAGAAATATAATAAAAGGGAGCAGTTGCCAGAATAATACTAAACATAATAGAAAAGAACTTTTCTACAAACTTGAACTTTTATACAAATGTGTTTTTTGGTTATATTTTTTTCTTCCAAATCATGGAGCATAGCTCAACTAAGTAGAGGCTTGGGCAAGAGGGAGAATGAACCGCAGATGAAAATGACCCCATAGATACTTAATCTGTTTTGGAGAATTAAGCATTAACTTGATAGGCAGAAAAAAAATCCATCAGAGATATAAAATCCATTCGGCCCTAAGAAACAATTTTTATGTCATTGCCTATCTGAGGAACTCTAGATACAGACATAAGGAAAGAACAATTAGATTGCAATTTGTCCTGAATATTAGTTACTCAATCATATACCCATTAAAATATATATGGGTTGGCTATAAAATTCGTGTGTAATTTAAATTACACTCTAACTTTGCGGGCACCCTGTCTATATCAGATAAAATATTTATAATTAACACAGTCAACCTGAAGGGATATTACTTGGCATAAAACTTAACATTTCTATCAACATAAAGAAGAAACAAACCTTTCCAGTTCTTTCTTTTGTCCTCCAAATGCAATCACAGTTCTAATAGCTGCTAAGACCTCTTCAGCTACTGCTCCAGCTTTGGCATATGCATGGAGTTCTTTATCAGTAAACGAAGATAATATCTGTTTAAAAATACAATTTCAGATTACTTTTTAAAAAGTATATTTGCTATGTAAGATACCTCAAATTCTTTTTGGATTGAGATGGTAGATAATAAATTAGATTACTTGAAAATTTCATTTTTCCACTGAAAAATTCATAGATCCTCAACCAAATAAACACAACTGGAACTTTTGGGAGACATTCAATTTCAGAAACGAAGGATATACTATACTATGATCATCAACAAATACAGAAAACAGGCAGAAGAAACTAATGTGCGTGCTCAACACAGCAACTGCTACTGGTTCCCGTGTTCAGAAGTGTGCAGGTGGGAGGCCTGAAGAATGAAAGGGACCAAGCCCCCGTGGTGACAGGACTTCGAGAAGGTACACCCCCCAGGGTAAGCAGAGTTTCCTCTACTGGGGCTCTTGGGCAAAACAAAGTTTGCAGCCACCCAGGAAGATCTAGTTTCTGGATGCTCTTTGGTCCTTCTCCTGGTTTGTGAGCATTTATTCTGAGGATGGAACCGTCCTGGATACATTATATTCTAATTTGGTCTTCTCAACTGCACAGTGAAGTAGGTTTTTTCCCCCTCACTTTACATGAGAAAATGAAAGCATGAAGAAGTTAAGTAATGTGCTAATAAGGGTAACATTTAGGATTCAAGACTGAGTTCATAAGACTTCAAAGCCTGAATTAACAGCCAACGTAGTAAATCTCTCAGAAACCAGTCACCCACATGTGAACTTGGGCCCCAGAGGACCCTATTATGAAAGCCAGATCAATTGGCATGAGTAAAGGACTAAGGTTACTGCTTGTACTTGGAATGCTCAAATGGTCACTTATCCAAATTAGAATTACGCACAACCAATTGATTTAAAAATTCTGATTAAACAGGATTACATTCTTCCAATAAATAATTCACAGGTATTTGTGGACTTGTTTATGTAACATCAGCGTACTCTTTCCTGGCACGAAAAGCTCAAAGTTGTTTTGACTTTTAGCAGAGCATTTCTTCCCTTTCTGTGTGTGAAAGTAAAAGGAGCTATAATAGATACAGGAATGAGTGGATAAAAGCAAATGAACATTATGTGTGCAGACACCACACTGCATGTATCTGGCATTTCAGTACCCAGAACCATATCCCACAGACTCCCTAGACCCTCCTGACTTCTCAAAGTGATCTTCTAAGGGCTGCCTGGCCACGGTGATTCACAGTGCTTGGTCTGAGTTAGAGTGGTGAGCCCCATGCCCAACAAGCAGGTCTGCAGAAAAGAGGAGGCTCACACAATCGTGACTGAGCATCGGTTCTCTACTCCTGAAATGTCATCATGCCACAACAGTTACCTACACTGGCGGGAGCAAACAGGAAGATTACTAAGAAATACTTTAAAAGTAGGAGTTCAAAAATATGCTATTTTAATTTAATGCTAATACCACATACATCAAGTACACAGCGACTCAACAAATTTGATTCTTTTTTCCTTTTGTGATCTCCCATTAATTATAGGCAGACAAGAATATAGTGGACTCTTCATTAAGTGTTTTGTCAAGAAATCAAGTCTATTAAAAGGAAAAAAAAATCCTCAAACCTATTCTCAAGGGTATGAAAAGCCAACTTCCACTTTGCTACAATATAAAATAACAAAATGGTAATACTTCCATTGTTACAATTACCCACATAAACTGTATAAAGTACTACTAATCTATCCCTTCTCCCAATAGGTGATAATTTCTTACTAAAGTTAACTGGCATTAGTTTGAGATAGATTAAATTATTTTCTCTGTAAGTTAAAAACTGTTTGACATAGGCAATTTTGTATTATTCAAATAACATATTTAGAAGCAATATTTTGGACCACTATAGGAATTTTTTTCTTTCTTTCTTTTTTTTTTTTTTGAGACAGAGCCTCAAGCTGTCCCCCTGGGTAGAGTGCCGTGGCATTACAGCTCACAGCAACCTC